TAAGATATCAAAATGAACACAAATCGAGCATACAATGTATAGTAAATGCTTTACAACTCGCAGGTTATCACGAAAATTTGAGTACTGAGAAAATTTTATTGTTTTAAACAGATAATGGAAAACGTTTTCTAGTATTTTGTGCAATTCTGTCTAACCTCTTCAGTTCTCCGAGCTGAGCTGTCGATGGCTTCATTTGAAGTGTTGCGAATTCAAAAGGACGTATGATTAGTAAATCATCAAGCCGTTTTACACGAGACAATGGAACGTAAGCCGATGCGACTTCAACTGGGTCAGGTGGCATCATAAGATCAATGATAATTTTACCGAGTGTTTGACCTTGACTTTTATGTGTTATCATACTGTAAGCGGAGAATTAGAAGAAGAGCTCTGCGCTTGATCGAGATTTTTGTTATTCGTTTGTTCATTTTTGCAGCCTTTGCCACATTCTCGGTAAGAAGCTCCTTGACATCAAAGAGGAATATTTGTCAACAAATGGCTATTGGAATTATTCTGGATTTAGGTTCAACAAGTTCAGAATCAAGCTTGCAATTTGGGAAATTCTACTAAAGCATATTTTGGTTGTGTTATAAACTTAGTATTTGTTGGAAAATTCTTGTCGTGAAATTGAACATCTAATGAAGATTCTTCGTGTACAAGTTGACGAAATATCCCACGTTTATCATTAGACAGTCCGAGCTCAGTAGCAAAGTTCTCTGTGAATAAAATTGACAGCCCCGGTACGAGAGATAAATAGCCTGGAATATGCTCTGTTTTATTGTCAGATAGTTCAAGAATCGCTTTATGTAATCGTTTTGTCTTCTATGTTTTTTCCCTGAATATAATCTTGAGTGACGCATACGATCGGTGTAAGTTTCATTTCCATCACTTTATTTAAGACTGCCCTATTGCCAAGCTGAGTACGAAGTACATTTCGAAAAACCAGTATTGAAACCTGTTAACAAGGATCTAATGACGTATAGAAAAAGAAGTGATTATACATACTTCGTTCCATGGTT